CACGAGGTATCAAGGTGTGACAATTTGGACTAAATTTTCTTTTGGTGAGGGGGACTGAGACCAAACCTCAACGGTTCCCAACAGCCAAGACAACACAGCGAACATTTCAAAAAAGAAAAAAAGAGCGCAAGGAAACTTACTTCAGTGCATTTCTTGGTTGTCTCCAAATCGTTCGATACTTTATTGGATGGAATACCGCTGTGTATCTCAAAATAGACAACGCCAGCCAACACCACACTGAGAATGCCGATGTCGTGTGCATTAGATATAAATCGATCTGAACAAAAATAATAACCACATTTACAAAGCTGGTGCATGCGACAATGACGAAACATCCTTGTTTGCGAATGCTGAGGGATGAGTTGGCTCGGCGTCAGCGCAGTTTCGCTGTTTTCTGCCAAATCCAGCTCCTGACACACCCCAACTTCCAAAGCGAACAAGGCTACGAATGGCTGTTGGGAGAGGAGGGAGGTCGTATGTGCCTTTGAGAGAAATTTGCCGCGTTGGGGAAAAATTTTTCCCGGTTGTTGACTTTTCGCGTGATTTTTCCTGTTTCATGTGTATTATATACCTCCTCCTCTCCTCCTCCTCCCTTCCCGCCCCCTTCGCTTACCCCGTGAGGGAAAGAGAGGACAAAGAGCGGACAAAAACGCTAAGATCTCGTAGATGAGGTTTTAGGACTGGACAAGCATTCGAAAAAACGAGACACTGTTGCGGCGGGAAAAACCAGAGACAAATGAATAGGAAAGGGAGAGAGAAGCAGGAAGGCGAGCTGTTGGTTGACCCTGCACAAAATGAACACAACACGCCATATCTGTGTTCACAGAAAGCTCGCCCCCGATAGGTGGAGTTATTTCCCCAAGCGACATTCCCTCAGCAACAGCACCCTCTTCACTCACTGTTCAGCCGCGAAGGTGCGACAGCCTCTATCTTACACTGAAACCTGTGAGGCTCCCCGAGTTTCTCAAGTTCTAGTGTATTGTAGAAACTCTTGTGACGTTATCGAACAATCGCAGAGTATGTCCTCGAAAAGATCATTCGGTCCTGAGAAAGACCAGTATTTCTTAGGAGCCGCTCCAGCAAGTGGTGGATATGTTGCCGACGCCACACTAAATCCAGCCCCCTGACACGCCCCAACATCCGCAGCGAATAAACGAGAAGGAAACCAGAAGAGTGTCATTGGTGTCATTTCTAGCGGGCATGAGGGGCGCTGCAAGACTGTTACTGTAATGTTACTGTAATGTATGCTTACCTTACACGTCCCACTCAGCAGCCACGTTGGCAGCCCATTTTTCGGAATACTGTGAAACAGTGCCTGCACAAGCTGTGCCAGTAATGTAACCGAATCACCAGCAGACATTGCAGCCAAAGGAAGCCCGGAAGTCGTTTCAAATCGGATAGCACTCCGCCTGAATAACAATTTACTACGCATGATGGTACAATTAACGCAACGATGGCTCATTAGGAAGTCTTTTAAGGATGTACTTAATTTTACAAAAAGCACACGATTGCCAAGAAGGAGGTTGAATTCTGGGCGGCCCTCCTAGTTTCAATATGATTGGACTAGAGCATGCAGTTAACGAGTTTCAAGTCACCTCACAGAAGGGACGAACATCGGGATGAGCGCAATGGCGACGCCAAAACGTCCTTCCCCCCCTCCCCCACGAATGAAACCCTTTGGGGCCCCTCTCTCACAATCTCGCATCGACCTAGGCCATATGCTTTCTTCTTCCTGTACCTACTATTACTCCATTCCCATTTGATAAGTTTAGTATCAATATGTTATAGTAACTCTTCGCTCCCGAACGTGTAAATACGAATGCACTTGCCCACGATCTCCCACGAAAAAATCGCTTCCACGGACTTTTATGCTCTCAAGCTACAAAACTTTTACAGGTGGCCAATTCACTTAATTATTTGATTCACTGGGGAATCGCCCAGGGCCACGCGACAGCATAGCGACTGTGCACCGGATGGCATTGGCGCTTTACTTATACTACATAGAAGACTCGCGAATGTTCCTCTAATCCTGTGGAAATCCATTTCGTTAATTTGGCGCGGTACCGACCCCTTTCCGTTTACTCATGCGTCTGATGCCGCATCGGTCGAAAAGAGGTTGGCGTCGCGCCAAAATCTACACCCCGCTGGAACGCTTCGACTGTCTTTAATCGTTCAGGTAATGGCTGTACAGTCCTGCATTGTCGTTGTCTTCGCTTTTCGCTAATATTCCGCTAATCGGCTTTTAAGGCTCACTAGATCCGGAAAAGGAGGCATCGTGAGTGTGACAAACCACAAATACTCTCACCTGGCAATCCGCAGCAGTCTCCAAAGCACATACCAATTGAGACCAATTCCAAGAATTGGGACGACAATGTACAACGCGAAGTAGGCAGATTGTATGTTCATCCTCTTAGTTCATTCCTAAATATTGTTTGTAATTTAAGGGGATATTTTTGAGCACAAGTCATACGTATTATTCTTCAAGAACGAAATTTTCACTGCAGAAGCAAACTTCGAGAAGGTCATGTTAATGGTGCTCCTTCTGCTTGTGGGAGCTGGATAAGTGCCCGAAAGAGAGAAAGGCGAGGAGAAATGGTCACACGCGAGAGTTGAGAAAAGAATGACGAGAGAACGGAACGATAAGCGAGACAACAGAAGACACGCCACACATACCAAGCAAGATCGGCTAGCATGGGCCCACAAGTATAGCCTGTAGCCTGCTTTCTGCAACATTTTCGAGCATTTCTAAAGGCTCGAAAATTTTGGGTCTCAATTGCCCTAGATTTTCTTGAGCTTCCATCGTTTTTCCCCAGTTTTCCAGTCAGTTTCTCCCTAGAAAACTGGAAAACTACCATCGAGCGGGGCGGGAGGGGGGGGGGGCGGGAGAGAAGAGAGTCACCACTCAACTGCTGCAACTACTAATTTCAATAATCAGGAATAGAACGAGAACATACTCTTAGCCGTCTACTAAAAAGGTGAGAACGTAGTGCACAGGGAACTGGAAAATTGGGAAAAATTGGCAACACAAAAAAGTTCGATCGCGGCCCGGTAAAGTTAAGGTTTATCAAGGGCAGATACACTCCCTTCCCCAGCAGCACCCAAGTATGGTCCTCTCAATGGAGGTCGTCCCAGCGATCCCATTGAGCTCTACTCTGAAACCTAATAGGAATGAGTGAGTTGCTTTCACTTCAAGCTTGAACATTTCTATTATTATTTGAAAATAGAACTGAAAATCAGAAAGTTGGTTTATTCATTGAATAAAATCACCACTTATAAAATAGATTCATTAGTTAATTAGGAAATAAGATTATCAATTATAAAACAAATGCTTTCGTTAGACAACGCTCATCTGCAATCAGAAGGACTATATCTAACCAAAATTATTACTGAATGACGAAAAGAAGCCAGGATCTCGCGCATTGTCTTGAGAAGCAACCGAATTTCAGTCTCTCTTTCAAAATTTCGCGAACAAAATGGAAACTTTCAAGTAGCTAGCCTCTGAAACAAACATTCTTTTCTGCATATAAGTTGCCCTTCCGCTCAGGCAATAGCATGTTTCGCACGGAAAGAATGTATTTTAGTTACATGTACATTTGCCTATCTGAAATAGAGCGGCTTATAGTATTAAACAGAAAGGGATCGAGAATCGGTCAGGGTTTGAAGCATACAACAAAAAAATACAGTTGATGCTGTGACCAAAAAAATTTCGAGTGCGATTTGGGACCTAGACCTGGGATTTGAATGATTTGTGAAAAAAAAGGAGACAGCCCTTTCCTGAGATTTTGTATCAGAAAGATACATTGTGACCATTAAAGTGACTTGCGGGGCCAGCCGATGTACAAGTCGGTGTTCCCTACCCACCAAGATGAGCCGGCAAATCAGTGCTAAAGAGGGTTTTAACCTTTCTAGAACTGATTTACCGGCTCCGGAGGATGGAAGGCTTGGTCGGCCTGAGCAGGAGCGGATGAAAATTTCGACTTTCATGCCCAAGGAGGATAAATAGCCCTTAGTATAACTAGCATTAAGGTTTACACCCTTAGTCCTGAGAATAAAAGGTTCCTACAAATTTTGTCGTCTTCAACAAGTTGTGGTAATGCGCCACGCACTGCACTTCCATCCAGAGTCATAAAGGTTTGAGAGTGAGAGTTGGCCATGCAGATATACATGCCAGTATTCTCTTGCTCGCAGACAAATCTACTGCGTACTCACCAGCTCCGGAGGATGGGAGGCTTGGTTGGCCTCAGCGGGAGCCAATCCAAAATCTTACTTCAAACACGTACTTCAAGAATGAGAGGATGTAGACACATTTACGATAATATACAGTAAACAAAGCGATAGAAGTGCTCACAAAATCTGTGTGAAAACACATCTGTACAAGGAATTTAATTGACTTTTTACTCGACTACGTGAACGCAGCTAGCGGCTTCATTCACGTGCTATATATTTTTAAGAAGAAGCAGAACCAACTTTTCCCCATCAGAAAGTCACCGAACTTCTCGTGCAGAAATGCAAACTAGAGAGCAATCCCTGAACAAAAACTCGCTCTTAAATCCTTTCAAAAAAGAGCAATGCAAGAAAACCACACGGAACTTCTTCGGTATGTGGACTGTCTGTCGTGCGATTTGAAATTGAGCTCTGGTGGAGTTTCATTACCATAAAGGGCCAGAATGGAATTTTCGCCGAGTCTTCCGGTGTTGATTTTCTCATC